CTGGCAGGAGCTTTGGCATATGTTGTAACTAAAATGAGAGGGAATGTGTTGGTGGGACAAGCTACCGGAGAGCTGTCTCGGTGTGCTGCGGTACTAGTAAGTGTTTTAATTGGGTAGGGTTTTTGGAGGACTATTTTGACATCTGCTCGTGTCTTTGCTGATTTTTCTTCACTTAGAGTAGGAAACACAAGCTGTGGATAAAATGACTTTAAAATAATTGGAAGTAAAGATATCTCCCTCAAAGTCGAATTTGAGAGGGACACTTTTTAAGAAGTGGAAAGTAAATTCCACTTCTAGGAATCCATCCTAAAGAACAAGGCTTTATGCCTACAAATTTCATGACAATATTATATATAAAAATTTCTTTAAAACTGGAAATAACAGCCAACAGGATGGGCTCAGTTAAGTTTGTTTCCATGAAATGGAACACTTTGTGGCAATTAGTAATGACCTTTACAAAGTTTTTAATGAAATGGAGCATTTGTATATTGTAATAAATGAGGAAATCAGAAAGAAATATTAAGAATTATTTCAACTGTATTTTTAAAAGTAGGGATTGGGGTTGCAAGGTTATGGAGGGAAACATCAAAACATTGTCTCCTCAGAACATAAAGACTTCTAACTCTGGGAAATGAACTAGGGGTGGTGGAGGGGGAGGAGGGCGGGGGGTGGGGGTGAATGGGTGACAGGCACTGAGGGGGACACTTGACGGGATGAGCACTGGGTGTTATTCTGTATGTTGGTAAATTGAACACCAATAAAAATTAATTTATTAAAAAACAAAACAAAACATTGTCTCCAGATGGAGGGATGAAAATAACTATAATTTCTTTCTTTGAATATTTTGTCCATCCCTTTTTTATTTTTAACAAGCATATGTGATTTTTAGGATACAAAAGGCAAGTGTTACTTTGTGGAAGAGAAAGCTGGCCCCGAGAGGGTTCCTATAGCTTCATGCCTTCAGGTATTTGTTCTCAGGTCTGAGCTATTGGATTTGGGATGTCTTCAGAAATAGTTGGGCTTTTGAGTCAGAGTGGGTTCACAAGTCAGCTCTGCTCTTCACTAGTGATGTGATTTGAGGCAGCCTATTCGACATCACGAGGCCTTATTTTCTCATCCCTACCCATGGGGATGGTCCTGTCTCCCTCGTAGTGTGGTTGCGATTAAATGAGCTGGCACTCAGTCATGGTCCAGCTTCCTCCTCCACCAACACCTCCCACCGCCACCCCCCCATTGGAAGGCTTTTGTGGGGTTGGGCTTTTGTTTTTGGGGGAGGCTGATTGGCCTTTCTTCGTTGCCTCTGTTTCCTCAAGCCTTTCAGGGATCAGGCACCATCCGGCCGAGCTGGCCTCCCATTCTCTCCTTGGGAACACTGAGCTTCAAGAAGGCGCTTGAGTCTCCGCCAGCCCCTTTGGAAGAGGCCTTGCTGCCAGGAGGGCAGCATTGTCCTATAAGAGGAAACTGTGCCGCCCCAGCTCCTGCCTGGAGCCTGGTGCTTTGGCATTTCGGTTACTAAGGGGACCCTGGCCTGCTAAGTCAGAAAAAAAGGGCCAGGTTTTTTCCTCTTCTTTAGCCTGCTACCATTGTTGAAAAAGTAAACACTCCACGCAGCTTAACCGGCAAGTCCTCCAGCCAGGAGTGGGAAGAAATCAAAAGCCTGTTCCAGCCCAGGCCATGGAGAGCCCACAAGGGCTGGTCTGTGCTGCTGGGGCCTCACTGGGAACACAGAAACAACACCCGATTCTGGTCCAGAATCAACATCCCTCTTACTGGGCCTTTCAGCCTCTGAGGCTTCTCTCCAGTGGCCAGGCCCCCTGCCCTCCTGTTTGGGGCTATTTAGAAGGTCAGCCGAGGCAGAATAGGCAACTCTGGGGTGCAGCGGCCATCCAGTCCTGGAGTCCCCTGCTGAGTTATGGTGTTCCTTATGGCCCTTTCTCCACTTCCATCTCTGGTGTCTCGGCTTTTGAGGTGAGAGCCCATTAGCTACTGAGAAGGGGCCAGAGGGCTTTTGCCCTTTGGCCATTGGCACTGCAGCTTTCAGACTTGCTGTGACTGATGTGTGAATTATAAAAGTAAAAATAGGGCAGCCCCGGTGGCGCAGTGGTTTGGTGCCGCCTGCGGCCCGGGGCATGATCCTGGAGACCCTGGATCGAGTCCCACGTCGGGCTCTCTGCATGGAGCCTGCTTCTCCCTCTGCCTGTGTCTCTGCCTCTCATTCTCTCTTTGTGTCTCTATGAATAAATAAATAAAATCTTAAAAAAAAAGTAAAAATAATAGCTACTGTTTATAAATCCTGTGTGTCTCGCACTGTGTGCCTGTTGCTTCTCTCATCTTCACAGCAGCCCAGGGGATAGGGGGTAAGGATGGTGATGGTCGCAGTTATCTTACCAGTTTCACAAAGTCACCGAAGAGTAGCCACGTAACCTGAGGTGAGCCACTTCACCTCTCCGAGCCTGTGTCTTATTCCTGCAATGGGAATGGTGATACTTAGTCTCCAGCTAAGTGGTTGAATCTGAAAGGATCTATGTGAACTCTGCCTGGTGATGTGAGTGACAAGGATAGTTGTTAAGTCTGTTTGTGTGACTTCCTGCCAGCACACTGCTAAGTGTTTAACTGACTGGGCTGAGACATGAGGCAGCAAAAGAGCCCTGGACAGTTCACCAGGAGTCTTACGGATCTCATCTGAAAAGTAGGGATTGTGCTTTGTGAAACACTAGTGATCTGTATTATGATTGAGGCTATTTGCTGATAGCTTTTTACCCTGTAAATAAGGCAGCCCATTAATGTGAGTGTTGGGGTTTGGAGGACAAAATACGCGTGTAAGGAGGCAACCTTATCCCTTCTGTGCAGCTCTCAGCCCATAGTGAGCACTTAAGAAATGTTGATGAAGGGGTTGAGAGGTTTGTGGGCCAGCCCCTGGTGGCTTGGAAAACTCAGTAACAAAAGGAGTTTGAAGCTCCTAGGTGTGTTCAGTGGGAGGGACCCAGGAATCTGCCACCTGGGACCATTTCAACCATAGGAGGCTTATGGCCAGCTCAGCTCCACCTTCCTGCTGGGAGGAATCGCAAAATGTTTTGTCCTAGAGACTGCCGTTTGAGAGAACAAGCATCAGCCAGTATTACTAAGCCCTTACCAAGAGCCTATCATTTTGTCGGGTGCTGGTTATCATGCAGTGGAGAGCCAAACGGGTGAGCCCCTGAAGGAGCCCACACCCCAACAGAGGAAAGCAGGCAGGCAGAGCGGTGCTGGGGCTCAGTGACAAGGGCTATATATGGAGGTCAGTCTCACTGAGAGTGCCTGATGACAAGGAGGCTGATGGTGCAATGCCATGGGAACATGGCTGTAGAGGCGGCCAGTGCTGTTACCTCTGCCCCTTACCTCACCTCTCTGAGCCTCCTTTTTCTCTAGGTATATAAAATGAGTGTAATAACATGCAGTTTGCAGATTTGGTAAGAATGAAATGAGACACAGTACAAAACACCAGTAGGCTTCTAGTTTATATTATATTATTCTATAATTGTGTATTTCCAGGACATTGGCTTTAGCAACCATCAGAATGATCCAGCCACAACTCTAGGCTGGCTATCCACTTCTTTTAGATGAATTAGGAAAAGGCATCTCCTTCCTCCCACCGTTACCACCCTTGACCCAGGCACGTGGCTTAGCAGATCTCAGCCCCATCTGGATGGCTGGGTGTCCTTGGGCAGTGCACATCTGTACGGTCATATGCAGCACCTCAGAGGGCAGCTAAAATTGATCCCTTATATATGGAAGGTGATCATATGTCTCACTGTATGTCTTTTGCCCTGGCATAGTATGTTGTCTTTCACACCCACAAGTATTCCAGTTTTGACCACAAATTGTAAGGTCTTTCTAATTATCTGGGGTCAACTGGGATAAAAATAACAGTTCTGAAGTTCTAGACTCTAAAGGAATGAGCTTTGGAATTTGAGAGGAGAAGAGGTTTGAATGAGGTTGGGAGTGGTGGGTGAGCAGGAGAAAAATGGAGGTGGATTCCAGTAGTGGGTAAATAGTGTGATTAAAAATTAAAAACTCGGGATCCCTGGGTGGCGCAGAGGTTTGGCGCCTGCCTTTGGCCCAGGGCGCGATCCTGGAGACCCGGGATCGAATCCCACGTCGGGCTCCCGGTGCATGGAGCCTGCTTCTCCCTCTGCCTGTGTCTCTGCCTCTCTCTCTCTCTCTGTGACTATCATAAAAAAAAAAAAATTTAAAATTAAAAACTCTGGCTACTCATACTTCTACAGACTTTGGAGAGTTGTTCCCAGATGGTGGACTCTTCCTTTCTCTATTATCTATGTATCCCTTCCTCCCCACACAGACATGTGCACCCAGTAAGCACATCTTTCTTACTCTCTCCATTAAAGTGCCAGTAGAATAATGACACATGGCCAAAGCCTCTGAGCTTTGATTCACTCGCTGGGTTTTTCTATGGAAAATGGGACCAAACTGAAAGTGTGACCTTCTTACTTAATGTTTAAGGGCAATGTTAAGATGTTAACGTTGGCCATACACCATATTCCATACCCAACAATGACAAGGTCCAAAAGAGAGATGCAAAATAGCTTTTGGTACATGAGAGGGGATGGATTGAAAATGGGTGTCATAAGGGCCTCGCTGAACTTTGGACTGCTGCTTCTACTGTTTAAAAAAAAGAAAATATAAGAAAAAAATAACATTGGAGTGTGAGGATCTCTTTTCCTAGCTGTGTGACCTGACCATGGTAACTTAGCTTCATCTCTGTGAAACCCTTTCCATTCCTGGGACTTGGGGATGACTATAAAGCTCATAGAGTTTTTGTGACAGTTAAAAAATGTGAAGACATGTAAGAAATGTGAACCACCTAGCACTGGGCCTGCCACAGAATGAACCTGTCACTGTTCTTCCTTATGCCCCTTTCCCAGAGAGGGCCAGTAGAAGTATCTGTAGCCTCATGGTGTTTCAGTGATTTTTTTTTTCTTTTGGAATTTTTTTCTTCGCAGAAAGTCAGAAACATGGCCCTGGATGATGTCGTGATCCTCAACGTGGACACCAACACCCTGGAAACTCCCTTCGATGACCTCCAGAGCCTCCCAAATGATGTGGTGGGTAATGAGCTCTTGAGTTGTGACTCCTGTGAGATGGGGGAGGGGACGTGGATGTGATTTTAGAGAAGGGAAAGGAGAGGAGGTGGCTGTGGTTGTCCTGTGGTCTCAGAACTGCGGTTTCTATCTACTGTCTCTGCCCTCTTTGCCTTAGTGAAGAAAGCTGGAGGGTGGTTCATTTTTTTAGTCTTTTTTTTGCTCTTATAACTTGCATCTAGAGGGCTGAGAAGCAATTCCAGGGTCTAGTCAGCTCCTCTTCCTGTGGGAGCCGGGGTGTCTTGCCATCCCTCTCCAGCACATTTCCATGTCCAGAGACTCAGACAGCTTCCCCTGGGCTTCCCACTGCAGAGGTTCCGGGAGGCTTTCCATATGAATGATGTGGGGCACTCCACATCTACATTTCTCTTCTGGACCATCATCAAGCAGCTGTTTTCCCATGTGGTATCTGCTGACAATTCTCTGAAGATGGCTCCATGTCCCATAAATCTTTGTTACCCTGGATCTAGCCACATAGCAGGCTAGATCCTTTAGCAAAAGCAACTGGCTGCCACATTTGCCGCGTGAACACCTGACCACACACCAGTCTCAGTATTGCTACTCGGGCTGCCTCCTGGACAGCTGTTTGAAGTAGACCCAGTCTCCCCCTTGTCATTATGAATGAGGAGGATTGGGGCTCACTGGGAAATATGGTTTTGATGTTTCTGGCTTGACCTCCATGGCTCTGTCTGCTAGAAGATCTGTAAAGTTATCCTGACTTCCAAACTGAAAGGAGTAGATGTTGCTGGCCATGTGTACTGACGTGGAATTGAGTCTGTGTTGCTGGGTTTCTGCCATGGCAGGTGGAGCTCCATTACTGCCAGGAGTCCCCGTGGCAGTTTGGGGTTAGCTATCTGGAAGAGGTTGCTGTTTGTTGATAAATGGTTTGCAATGGGATTTCAAACCCCTCCACTTTTAACTCAGTATAAGATTTGGGGGAGTCATTTGTGCTATATAAAGATGTTCCCATTTGTAGCCTAATTAAACAATGGCTGCCATTAACTGGCTTCCTCCAAGCTGAGCACTGTGCTAAGAGCTCATTATTGGCCTCTCATTTCCTCTTCACACGGCTGTGAGGAAGGTATTTTCCTAATTCCCACTTCACGCTCAGAGCTAGAAAGAAGAGGAGCCAGGAGGCAAACCCAACTCCAGAGAGCCACCAGGCTCCATTGCCTCTTGAGGGGCCTGCTCCATTCAGGGATCACATTCAGTAAGCATCAGAGCCCAGTGGAGTAGGTGCTTTCTCCTCTCCCTATTGCAGGGGAGGAAAAGGCCTCCAAGAGCACATGACCATACAACTGGCTGAGGCAGAGCTGAGATTCAACAACACCAAAGCCCAGTCTGCCTCTTCTTCTTGTACAGTGCCCTCCCTTCTGAGGCAGAGAGATGGCAAACGCAGGGAAAATGAAAGGACCAGATACTGTGAGGCTTACTGCTCATGTCAGGACATGGTATGGGCTTGGGATCTTAGGGCCTACTGACCGTAGTTTTAGTTCTACTGGTCCAAAGAATATGTAGTTTCCACCCTGGTTCCCTTTAGGTGGAAGAACTTTTCCTTTAAGCCATGAGCACCAGAGGTATGGACCCAAAGCTCCCAAGTGAATATGGTAAGAGAGTCTAGGAATAGCCAGGAGCCCCAGGGCAGCCCAGGATGAGTAACTGGTGGCTAAGAAACCATGGAGTAGGTAGACTGGTCCTATCTGCAGTGCTCTGACCCACTGCTGGGCATTAAGCAGCAAAGATGAAGCAGATCTAGTCCTTTCCTTCAAAGAGCAAAGTAGAGGGAAATGGATATGTAAATTACATCTATATCATGATATAGCATAATAGAGGCCACAAGGAAAGTAGGAATCAGGCACAGAAGGGCCTGGGGATGACAAAATTTAGGAGACAGGTAATAGAGGCTTCCTGAAGATGGCACAAAGATGCTTTTTAATTTTTTTTTTTTTAGAGGGAAAGAGTATGCGCCCATGTGCGAGCATACATATGCAAGTGGGTGAGAGAGGGGGAAGGGGGGGGGATCTTAAGCAGGCTCAGTTTCACAACCCTGAGATCTTGACCTGAGCTGAATCAAGAGTTGAACCGTTTAACTGCCTGAGCCACCCAGGCATCCCCCTCAAGATGCTTTTTAAATGATCAATAAAGTGGTCTCAGGAAACCAAAGGAACGAGGGGCAAGTTATTTTTTTTCTGAGCTCAGTCCCCCATTTTGGAAGGTGGGGTATGAGCCCTGTATTGAGGATTGCTGTAGCAAATAAATGAGATGATTATGTTCCTCAAATGCTTGGGGCAGTGCTCACGCGTTGTTAGTGTTCAATAAATGGTACCTGCATTTGTTCTTAATAAAGTCATTGTTAGTAATTATAGCCAGAGTTAGAGGACGTTAGTTCCTTAACAGACCTCAGCCTGCATAAAAAGGACCTGTTCATTTGCAAATTGGTTTGAGGCAGGGTTGAGACGGTTCTTCAGTGGTATTCTAGCGTGGGACTCTAGAACCATTAAAAACTCCAAAGATACAGTAATGGAGAGGGAATGTGGTCTGTAAGATATTTGTGTCTCAGTGGAATGCAGAGATTTGATTCTCTAAGGCTGTGTGAACTTGAGAGAAGAAATCACGTCCTGTGCATCTTCGTGTCCCCTGCATTCAGCACAGGGCCAGGTACCTTCAGGGTATCATCATATCCTGTGAGTTGACCTCACAATTTCCCCTTTCTTAGAGCTGCTTGTTTATGGCATCTGATAGATTCTGCTTCTTAAACTATTTGTCAGATCCTGTATTCTGTCTTCCTTACACCCACCTAATCCAGGCTCTTATTTTTCTCCTGCACTATTAGCAGCAGCCTCCCAACTTGGTCTTTCGTCTCCAGCCCTTCCTCCTCTTGCACCAGAGCGACCTTTCCAAAAATAAACCTAACTATGTTTCCCTCTTAAAACCACTCCATCAAGGAACATAATTAAAAAACTAAAAAAAAAAAAAAAAAAAAAAAAATTGAAAGACAAAATATCCTCCCCAAACTTCCCAGTGCCTATAGCTTAGAGGCAAATTCCTTTTGTTGACTTTGAAATCAGACAGATGTGTGTTTAAATTTTTTTTAAAAAAAAAATTTTTTTTTATAAATTAATTTTTATTGGTGTTCAATTTACCAACATACAGAATAACACCCAGTGCTCATCCCGTCAAGTGTCCCCCTCCGTGCCCGTCACCCATTCACCCCCACCCCCCGCCCTCCTCCCCTTCCACCACCCCTAGTTCATTTCCCAGAGTTAGAAGTCTTTATGTTCTGTGTCCCTTTCTGATATCTCCCACACATTTCTTCTCCCTTCCCTTATATTCCCCTTCACTATTATTCATATTCCCCAAATGAGTGAGAACATACACTGTTTGTCCTTCTCCGATTGACTTACTTCACTCAGCATAATACCCTCCAGTTCCATCCACGTCGAAGCAAATGGTGGGTATTTGTTGTTTCTAATGGCTGAGTAATATTCCATTGTATACATAGACCACATCTTCTTCATCCATTCATCTTTCGATGGGCACCGAGGCTCCTTCCACAGTTTGGCTATTGTGGACATGGCTGCTAGAAACATCGGGGTGCAGGTGCCCCGGCGTTTCATTGCATCTGAATCTTCGGGGTAAATCCCTAACAGTGCAATTGCTGGGTCGTAGGGCAGGTCTATTTTTAATTCTTTGAGGAACCTCCACACAGTTTTCCAGAGTGGCTGCACCAGTTCACATTCCCACCAACAGTGTAAGAGGGTTCCCTTTTCTCCGCATCCTCTCCAACATTTGTTGTTTCCTGCCTTATTAATTTTCCCCATTCTCACTGGTGTGAGGTGGTATCTCATTGTGGTTTTGATTTGTATTTCCCTGATGGCAAGTGATGCAGAGCATTTTCTCATGTGCATGTTGGCCATGTCTATGTCTTCCTCTGTGAGATTTCTCTTCATGTCTTTTGCCCATTTCATGATTGGATTGTTTGTTTCTTTGGTGTTGAGTTTAATAAGTTCTTTATAGATTTTGGAAACTAGCCCTTTATCTGATATGTTATTTGCAAATATCTTCTCCCATTCTGTAGGTTGTCTTTGAGTTTTGTTGACTGTATCCTTTGCTGTGCAAAAGCTTCTTATCTTGATGAAGTCCCAATAGTTCATTTTTGCTTTTGTTTCTTTTGCTTTCATGGATGTATCTTGCAAGAAGTTACTGTGGCCAAGTTCAAAAAGGGTGTTGCCTGTGTTCTCCTCTAGGATTTTGATGGAGTCTTGTCTCACATTTAAATCTTTCATCCATTTTGAGTTTATCTTTGTGTATGGTGCAAGAGAGTGGTCTAGTTTCATTCTTCTGCATGTGGATGACCAATTTTCCCAGCACCATTTATTGAAGAGACTGTCTTTCTTCCAGTGGATCGTCTTTCCTCCTTTGTCGAATATTAGTTGACCATAAAGTTCAGGGTCCATTTCTGGATTCTCTATTCTGTTCCATTGGTCAGATGTGTGTTTAAATCCCGGCTTCTTCACTTATTAGCCTTGTGATCTCAGTCAAAATTACTTAAGCTCTCTGAGCCTTAGTTTCCTCATAGGTTGTTGTGGGAATTGAATGTAGTGTGTGTAATATATGTAAAACACATATCCTGTGAGTATGATGGGTGGTAGTTGTAATGATTTATGGATGTAAATGATGATGAGCATTGCATTCAGTGTCTGCCTTCATGTTCTGACCCTCCTATTGTTTTCCATAGCTTTAGCTCATTACCCTCCCAGCCCCAAACCCTATTTATAGGCATGTAGAACTGTTACTAGTTCTCCAAACCTTGCATATTATTTTATAGCTTCAAACTTTGCATGTAGTGTTTCTTTTTTCCCAAATATCCTATCCTACCAATCAGTCTCTTACTCATTCTTTAAAATTTACTCTAAATGTGAAGCTGTAAAAACCTTCCCTGGGCCACCTGGCTGGCTCAGTCA